AGTAGTGGCTGGTGGTGGGTTTGAACTGCCAGCCTTCTGGTTAACAGTCAGATGCCTTAGGCACTGTGCCACCAGAGCTCCCTTTATTGCTTTATGATTAGCTTTATCTTAGGTTGTTGTTGACAATCTACACAGAGCATACACCAGCGCAACATTTGTCCGCGCCCAATTCGGTGACCCTGATGACGTCCTTCGAGTTGCACAGCCACTCTCACGCTCCTTTCCCGTTGCTCCTCTCCGTGAGCGTGAGCTCGCTGCCCGCTAAGCCTCCTCTCTAGTCTTTTGATTGCTGGTGTCACTTTGATCCCAGATAGCTGGTTCTTAAAAGAGCCGGCCTTCCTTACTGCTGAAGCTACACCATTGTTTGATTTGAAGAAGCCCCCAGGACGCATTTTTGGTTTAAGGTTAAAGATGATCTCAGGGCGGTAGTTCCAGGGAGTGATCCAGCCCCCGTGGCTCCGGGAAGTCCAGAGTCCATGAGAATTGGGAGTTCTCTTCTGCATTTTCCTCCTCATCGGGATTCTGCTGCAGAATCTTTGATCAAAATGTTCAGTAATGGTAGCCCGGGACCATTGAGTTCTGGTTTCACGGCAAAGGGGGAAGTTGTTCATGGAGGCGATTAACCACGTGCCACCTTCCTCCTGCTCCTGACTCAAGGAGCCCTGGTGGCACAGTGGTTAAGTGCTCAGCTGTTAACTGAAAGGCCAGTGGTTTGAATGCTGCAGCTGGTCCATGGATGAAAGATGAGGCAGCCTGCTTTTGTAAAGATGCCAGCATGGGAAACCCAACGGGCCAGTTCTACTCCGTCCTGGGGTGTCGCTGTGGCTGGAATCCACTCCGCTGCAGTGCGTTTTGGGTTTATCCCCGACTCTCCTCCCTGCTCTGCTGCTCCAGGCTAGTGGAGACCAATTGTGGGGCCTTGGTGGGCACAGTGGACTAATCAACGTCCACCTGGGCTATCCCCGTCCGGAAAACCCCACGGAGAATGGAGTGTGCTGCACACGGGCTGCCGTGCGTTGGCGCCAGCGCCCTGGTGGCTGGCCTGGCGCCCTCTTGACGTGTTGACCTGGTCCTGCTGTGTTTCAGGTGTTTCCCTTGGTCGTCTACAGCTTGGGCTCTGGAAGACACCTCAAGAGCCTTGAGAAGACCTTCAACATGGAGGCAAGTGCA